TAAATTATTTATCGTCTAATAACTCTCAACAAATAAAACCACTTCATCTTCAAACACCAAATCATTTATTTATAAATAGGAATGAGTCGATGTGCCTCTGCCTGCTTCGACCACAAAGAACGGGCCTCCTCTGTGTATCATTACTTTATCCTAAAAAAGAAAAAACAAATACAATTTCATCGACTTATATACGTACATAATTTATTAATCCACATCCACTCTGGATTCACATTGTCCTACAATATCGACAAACAAAATGTAAATGCATATCAAATACCCAAGTTTAAAGATACACTCATTCTTTGCAATATATTGTCTTTAATATAACCGTCTTTTGCTTTATCCGATTTCCAGCGACCATGTTTTTTGAATAATCGTTCTTTTATCCCGCAATTTGCTGCAGCTGATGCGCCACCTGCTCGTAGACTATGTAGACCAAATTTACTTTTATCAAAACCCAATTCTTCAAATTTTTGTAAAACTGTTTCTCTCATACGTGTATACGACAATTTTCCAGTATCCTTTAAAACATGTTTTCCTGATTTCTTTAAATACTTGACCGATCTGAAAATATACTTCTCTGAATCTTCTTCTATGTCTGCGGCTCTTAGATATCTTTGTAAGAAAGCATATGGGCATGAAGTCTTACCTGTTCTGGCTATTAAAACATTAGATCCATCTCTGTATATATCAGTTTTGCTTTTTTCTATAAAAACTTCAAAATATGAATTTTTGAATATAATATCTGTTCTTCTAATTGAGGATACCTCGCTATATCTTAAAAATCCTGAAAATGATAATAAACATATACAGACATCTCTCAAATCGGACAAACTGGCGTTAGATTTTGCAAATCTATTAACAAGTTTATTAAGCATTTCACTGGTTACTATTTCCTTTTTTATTGTTCTGTTACATGACATTCTTTTTGCTGCCTCCACAATATTACTGATCAAAGCGTTATCGTAAGGATTTCGTGTTATTCCAGCAATATCATGAACCCACTTTAAGGCATATTTCACATCCTGTATTGCTCCTGGTTTACTTTCTTGTTGAATTAAACTTAACATATATAGTGCAATGTGATTTGTGGATGCCGGGAATATGTTAACCTCTGTAAATTTCCCTGTCCAATTCTTCCACTTTTGAAATATATAAGTATACTTTTTCACCGTATTATCTGCTCTAGATTTCAATACAATACTTGGTAACTCTTTACCCAATCTTCGTAAAGTTGCATTATTGAAATCCTTTAATTCCGTCCAAACTCCAGATTGGAATACCTGTAAATACAAATAAAGAATTTTGATGAAAACACACCAATTTATGTTTACTAATATAAAAGCCCATTTTTAAAACATTTCAAATGTTCTTTTCATGCATTATAGGCCTACTGTTTTCAAAAACCAATCCAGACAATCTTATATTTTCTCTTTTAACAAAAAAGAATGAATTATCCATTAACTCTTAACCATCGTTAAAAGTATGCTTTCATTGCCTTGATTATGTATAAACATTTTGTACACTGTCCATCCTGATTATCAACTTTCATAATAACACACCTTCATGCCACCAGACCTTTCAAATATATGATTTTCATTTAATTTTGTATAACATTTGTTTCATCGTCAATCCTGACTTGCAAAATATATTATAATTCACCTTTATCTCATCATACTTTTCAATTGAACTTTTCAATTCTGTGTAACAATTGTTACAGTGTCAATCCGAACTACAAACCTTTATAAAATATACCTTCATNTGTGATTTGTGGATGCCGGGAATATGTTAACCTCTGTAAATTTCCCTGCCCAATTCTTCCACTTTTGAAATATATAAGTATACTTTTTCACCGTATTATCTGCTCTAGATTTCAATACAATACTTGGTAACTCTTTACCCAATCTTCGTAAAGTTGCATTATTGAAATCCTTTAATTCCGTCCAAACTCCAGATTGGAATACCTGTAAATACAAATAAAGAATTTTGATGAAAACACACCAGTTTATGTTTACTAATATAAAAGCCCATTTTTAAAACATTTCAAATGTTCTTTTCATGCATTATAGGCCTACTGTTTTCAAAAGCCAATCCAGACAATCTTATATTTTCTCTTTTAACAAAAAAGAATGAATTATCCATTAACTCTTAACCATCGTTAAAAGTATGCTTTCATTGCCTTGATTATGTATAAACATTTTGTACACTGTCCATCCTGATTATCAACTTTCATAATAACACACCTTCATGCCACCAGACCTTTCAAATATATGAATTTCATTTAATGTTGTATAACATTTGTTTCATCGTCAATCCTGACTTGCAAAATATATTATAATTCACCTTTATCTCATCATACTTTTCAATTGAACTTTTCAATTCTGTGTAACAATTGTTACAGTGTCAATCCGAACTATAAACCTTTATAAAATATACCTTCATTCCATAACGCTTTTCAATTATAATTTTCAACTCTGTATAACATTCGGTGCAGTGTCAATCCTGACTACTAACCTTCCTAAATTATACCTTCATTCCATCACGTTTTTTCCCAATATAAATTTCAGTTTTGTATAACATTTGTCGCAGTGTCAATCCTGACTGTCAATTTATATAAAATACATCTTCATGCCGTAACAACTTTCAAATATATATTTCAATTCGTTTTAACATTTGTTGCATTGTCAATCCTGACTGGCAACCTTCATAAAAATACACCAACATGCCATAAAACTTTCAAATATATATATTTCATTTCTGTGTAATATTTGTTGCAGTGTCAATCCTGACTTGCAACCTTCGTGAAAAATACACCGTCATTTCATCACACCTTCTACATATAAATTTTAATTCTGTATAATGTTTGTTGCAGTGTCAATCCTGACTTGCAACCTTCATAATAATACACCGTCCTTCCATCACACCTACTATATATATATTTCAATTCTGTATAATGTTTGTTGCAGTGTCAATCCTGACTGGCAACCTTCATAAAAATACATCATCCCATCTCGCCTTTGAAACATAACCTTCGTTTTTAGAAAATATTCTTCTATTAAAATCCTGTCTCCCCATCAATCCTGACTGCCAAAACTTTATCCTTAAATTTCTGCGACCCTATGTAAGATTGCTTATTTTTCCCTTGCTTAAAAATACCCTTGTTACCGAAAATAAGAACATCTTTTATGTACATTTTCCACTTCATATCTCTGTCAAATATCATTGGCCAAAATGCAGCCGACTTCCAACTTGGAACGACTAAAGTGCCTTTTGCTTTACAATTTAATAAATGGTTTATTGCCTTTGGTACCAAACCTACAGGTGGAACTATCCAATTATTCTCATGCTGCCAATTTTGTAAAAATGCGTCTGTTGCCTCTGTATTTGGATTCCAAAATCTTGAATTAAAACGGTTTGTCTTCGTATTTTCAAAATTCGCAAATCTATCTACAGTGTGAGGTCCCCACTTTTTATCCAAAAGTTCGAAAAAAGAAGATTCTACCTCCCAGTCGTCTATGTCTACCAATTTGCTGATATAATCTGCTTTTTCATTTTTTGATCTAGGTATCCAGTTTACTGTCAAACTGATTTCATGACATGTACATAAATGATATATTTGTAAAGCTAAATGTTGTAGATCATGTTTCATAGATCCTGCCTGTATAATCCTCACGACATTTTGATTATCTGTGTACCAACCTATTTTACTTCTTTTTATAACTTTAATAAAAGCTTGTAATGCAATTGCAATTGCCTTCAACTCCCTCCATGTCGAACTTTTCTCCTTTTCTTCATCTGACCACATTTTGTGACAAATGTCAGATTGACAACGTACCAAATAGGCACCACATGCATAATCACTAGCATCTGAAAATCCCAAGATTTTGGGTATTTCGTTTAAGAATAAATGTCTTTTATTTAGACAATGAATGTTTGACAACCAAAAATGTAACTCATTCAGAATTTCTGTATTTGAACGAAAATTTTTGCATTCGTCCCAACTGTTTCTATCATTGATTGCGTGATACATATTTCTTGTCATTAATCTACTTATATCTCCAATAACAGTTGACATTGATATAATTTTTCCCGTAATTCGAGCCAGCTCACGTGCCGATGTCATATTAATATTTTGCATCAGTTTTCTAATATCATTTTTCAATTCTGAAACCCTTTTTTCTGTGATTGATATCGTACCCTGTATCAAATTCCAATGAATACCTAACCAATCAATCTCTTGAACTGGTCTCCATATACTCTTTTCATTATTCACTACGAAACCCGATTTTTTCAAGTCTCCCCTCACTTTGTCTGAATATTTTTTGCACATCTCAAAATCATCACTAAATCCAAATCCATCATCCAAATACAACACTATAGGTATAGACCATTCTCTCCAGTGTTTAACCAAACATCTTAATACTTTGGTAAAAATGTAACCTGCTGAAGATATCCCAAAAGGTAAAACTGTGTAAACGAAATATTTAATTTTTCCTTGAACAACCCAAGAAAATCCCAGAAATTCTTGCTGTGACTCAACAATATCTATATGATGATAACCATTTTTTAAATCAAAACTAAATGCAAATCCTTTTGAATTTACGTACTGTAATGCAATTCTTGTATCCTCAAATTTAATACTCTCTTTCCAAATGTATGGATTTACACATCTCAAATCTAAAACCAAACGTTTCTTTTTCCCATTTATTGCCACCGTCAAAGGATTAACAACTTGTGGTATCCCTTTAAATTCTTTGATACGGCCTGATTGTAACAAATCTGATATTGATTCTTCTACAAAATCCTTATTGTCTAATGCAGACTTATTGTTTTTCATAATCATTTTTGGTGGTGTATTTATAAAAGGAATAACATATCCTTGTTTTATTACATCTAATACATACGTATTGGCACGAATACTTTCCCAAAAAGCTACATTTTTCTTCAATCTACCTTTCACATTGTCGCTATTATACTTATCTTTTAGAGTTGTATCTGTCTTATTGACTGCCGACCTGTGCGTAGCTGTAGTAGCTTGGGTTCGGTTCCGTGTTGTTTTGAAAGTATGACTGCTTTTGCTGGTTAAATTTGGAGCATTCTGCTCGCCAGTGACCGTATTGTCCACATCCAAAACACTGGTCATACTTGGACGGTTGACTTCTTTTGGCTCGAAAAAGCCTTTTGAATGGCCCTGAACCTGAAAAATTGGCTGAGGCTGTATATTGAACAGGCATATTGGAATAGCTATTATAANCAGTGACCGTATTGTCCACATCCAAAACACTGGTCATACTTGGACGGTTGACTTCTTTTGGCTCGAAAAAGCCTTTTGAATGGCCCTGAACCTGAAAAATTGGCTGAGGCTGTATATTGAACAGGCATATTGGAATAGTTATTATAAACACCAGACCTACGTTGACCGACATTGTTGCGTTTCTGTTTTTTCTGGCACAATTTTCTATTTGCTCTTATCTGGGCTGAACGAATTTTCTTTTCGTCTTCACTATCATCTGCAAGATCATCGGATTGATATTCTTCCACAGCTTCCCAACCAGCATCCGATTTGTCCGTGATGTGATGTGATGTGTTTCGTGTGTATTATAAGAAGTAAGTACGTAGCCTTAATACAACACATGATATAATTAAATTCATTGTATTATTAGGTCGATGCATCGGTAGCTTAAGTATTTACCGTTACGTTTTCCATATCATGATTAAGGTTAACGACAAGCTACAATGTTTGTAATAGCCACTGTATTCAATACATGCAGGAACAACATGCAAGTTGGCAGCGCAGGTACCTCAAACATCGCCTCCTTTTTCAGTGATGTAAATATGCCATCAGTGGATATTTGGTTGTTCAGCCGTCTGTCGGGGTGGAAAGCTGTGTAGGGAGCAGACGTCAGCACTGTGTCTTTGTTTAAGTCCTGGATGGGGATACACTCCAGGAAAACGTAGCCCCCTTTCTCAAACCTTGAAATAACCTGAATAGAAGCCCAGATTGGCGATTGGTATGCTAAACATGCAACTACATCTTCATATTTTCATTCTATAAAAGTCATGCAGAAAATGTGGAACAATTATGCATTATATAGTTTTAACGTTATATGCCCAATATCCAAAACGGCTCATCTTGCCTTGTAATGCAATGCTATATTCTACATGTATATGCTGCAGAGTCAAATAGTGATATGATATACCAGTCAAGTATACCGTTTACCTGACCGAGAAAGGCGCCGGATGTACGTCCTGGAATAACGTCACCTACGACTGGTGGCGCCGTCTCTTGATTCACTGACTCACTAATGTGCAGACTTCTGTCATTTTGTTCTCCGCCGTGGCAGTACATTGTGTTAGATGTGGAAACAGGAGAGACAGCAATGGGACTAGAAAACACATCAAGTACGCCACATGTTATGCGCTTTTCTATATAAAAATATTAAGTGTCCTTTATATGCATGTGCGAACACATTAAAAATGTACAGTAAACTTTCCTGTGGCATTGAATACTTCTTTTCAAATTTAAATATGTTTTACGCCCCACTGTTGACCAATTATTAGCTAAAACTGAATTATACAGTGTCAGTATTCATAGAAAAATCTCAGAATATTGCAAAAAGACGACAAAAATAAGAGTTGTCGTTACTAAAAATATTATGTACAGTTCGACCGGGACCGGAAATTTAATATGATGTACTACACATGATATAATGTATCACGTTTTGACGTAACAAAGATGTAATACGACACAACGTATACATCGTATACAAATATGTCATTCACCTAAAAGACATAGCCTGACTACACGTCTTTACTTTGGCGTGATACGTCACAGCCTCAGATTCGGCTACAACATCCTCTAAGTCCTCGAGGAAGCCCTGGCTTTCCCCGCCGACTACCACATCACCAACATTAATGTGATTTGACGTACTCTGTCGTAGCACAATGTACTGAGACGCCACAGGCCTTGTGGTCACATTGTACCAATGTCCAAGACATTTAAAAACATGATCATCTGAAATGAGAAATGAAATATTTTTTATCAGCTGTGGTTCACATATTTATCAAATAAAAACGTACGCTACTTCCTGTAGTGTAAGGTAAACGTTTTAAATAAGTAAACTTTGCATTCAGTTTTTCAACCATTTATATTTATCGTTTATTATTATTATTATTATTTTGGGAACAATTTGAAATCAGAACTCTTCGAGATTCACCTTTTAGCACGTGAACTAAGGAACCTCTAATGGCTGCTCCTTCCCACGCATAGGCAATTTTAAAGATGCGTTTCTCCGGCACGTGCTCTAGCGTCCTATCATCCATGAGGGAACGGACAGGAACTGTTTGGTTAAAGTTGGCATACTGGATGACATCTTCCAACGAGGCCCTTACAGCAGCAAAATATTGGTATGTTCCTGAACAAAACGATTGCCATAGCTGATAAAACATATAATTCTAGTATAGTGGTGTATACTGAATCATGCAAATGTTATAAGCCTTTAATGAAACGTACCATTGATGCTATTCATACAATGAAAATCACGTCATACACTTTGTCCAAAAATGCATGTTTATATTTTATGCCGATTATTGGTTAAACGCCATTGAAATGCAACTTTAATAAGGCCTACTTTAGTAATGTATTCAGGTTATGGATTATGATATATTAATGTGTTAAAAATATCACTGAACCAGAGAGTCCTACTACTGACATACATGTAACGTCATAAGTTACGTCAAAAAAGAATTCGACATTGTACAATTAGCCAGAATTATTTCCATACATTGTTTCTTTGGTTGAAAAAAAAGTGTTACATGTAGTATAATTAACTCACCTTTTTCTTGAGTTGCGTACACTTTATGCATGATTCCTCCAGCTTGCTTGCTGACAATGACAAAATCTCTGGGCCTGGGATACTTGACCTTGTCTCTGGTCACAAGAATGGAGTGACCTACCAAAATTATTCAAACAGATAGAAACAAAAATCAGCGTGCGTTTTAAATTTTAATTCAATTGCGTGCGAAAGTGAATATTGAAACGTAACTGAAATAGGAGGAGCATGCCCACTGGAATAACTGTATCTTTATGATGAACTGTGGGTTAACCTTTGGTACAGTAATACATTATTAGTAAAAGGCATCAGACTTTTTATTAATTATGTATAAAAGTTATCGATAACATTGCTTTTATTTGTAGTATTTGTCACATTTGTCACAAGTATTGCAGTAACATGACGCTATGTTCAACAAAATGTACTTACAGACTTGCAAACTTATGATAGAACACATAAAAGGCATAGAATGAGATATCTCGTATTCCACTTTGCATCATATTTCAATAATTCATAAACATTACAGATATCATACATGAATGCCCACCTCTTTGTTTCGTATTTGATATAGGGCACACATAAAACTCTGCATTGCCAGGCTTAATGACCTTCACGTGTGCGTGCAATGTCGTATCTAGGGCTCGGTTGCCATGGTTATAGACTGGTCGCACTAGGCCATTTGGGCATTTCCTCATGTCCCATTGACGGCAGCTATATGAGGTCTAACCGGTTCAATATGCAAGAAAACATATTTCCTAAGGTATTTTGCAGAAGAATTATAAATGACGACTTTGATATTCTACATTTATTGGTGAATGGTGTACATTCAGTTATTAAATATGAAGAAACACATATGTATGTTATTATATAGTGCAGTCATCATTGCTTACAAGAAATGGCATTTACATATTTACACACATACTTTACGGAAGGATTATAACAGTACCCAATATAATGTGAAACAGATTGCAGGTCCGTTAATGGTTTATTGTTCTTCTTATTTTTATTTATATTAACTATATATTCTCACACACATCGTCACTGAAGCAGGCCTCCACGTCTCTACACCTGTGACAAAGCTCATCATTGGAATACCGTATGGTAGAGTTACACTGCCGGTAGTCACAGCCGATATACTGAATACATTAAATATACAGCATTAAGTTAAAAACGAGATGATGGTAACTGAAGCCGTCGATTTTTTTCACACAAAGAGTATATTTTCTGACATGATATTTGTGCACCAATCGGAATTGACATAGAATGGTAAGAAAAACAGTGATCATACAATCCATTTAAAATCTAACTTACACTGTATCAGATCTCAGTTTTGTTAAATTTGTTATTAATTTTACATTTGGCACCTAACTGGGACTTTTACACCCCACAAATTCATGTTCATACTATTAAAATCATGTGTAACTTCTGCTTATGGTAATAGCGTATATATTGTAACAAACGTATCATAAAAGGTTGCTTTAAATCACATACCTCAATTTGACTAGAACATCCCATGTGTGTGTCTACAGAGAAACAGTCGTGATAGAACCATGTCCCACACTGCTCTCTCCACGGCTGAGACTCGTGGCCTGGCAGACATCTTTGTTTGTGGTCACACCACCCACACCCGGGCTGTTCAGTGCAAGATCTACATGTGCTGTACACGGGGCAGTAGCTTACTGAACAGGCGCGGCCCTATGAACAAAAAGGGTCATGCAATTAAAAAACTGTATGTCATTGATAAGATATTACATGTTTTGATAGAGGCATTTTAAAATTAGTGCACAGTTATTTAGCCCATTTGTCTGCATCATTGTTTGGTCGTGAAATCAGGACCAAACACCTGATATTGTGCACAACAATATTGCTTGATTTATTTATTCAGGGTTTTTCTTCTACTAAATTCAATATACGTAACCCCATCGAGACTACCTGGTAACTAATGAAGGGTTTACCTGCCACCCAGGCTGACACCTGCACTGGTTCGGTCCCACACATGTCCCGTACTGTCCACACTTGTTCCTGTCTCTACAGTGGTACACGGAGCAGTCCTTTCCTTCCCAGCCACGGTTACAGTGACATCGTTTATCTTTACCACAACGTCCATTGTAGGTGCAGCCATTGGGACACTCGTTAACTATGGTACATATAGAAGGGTAATGCTGTATAACGATGGGATAGGGAATGAGGAGGTACTTTGTAAATACAATGAAAAATACAGTGGAAATTAGGGCATAATAAAATATAATAGCGTACTTCAAACGCAAGCAGCCAGCTTGAGCATACATGTAGTTGGCCCCTTATGTACATTTGAAAATTAGGTTATGTTATTAGAATGTCATTTATGATAGTTTGTAGTAAGATTATTACCTGCGGACCGTTTACAAATGTACGGAGAAAGACTGAAACAATCATCTTTGTAGATATGTGCATTGCCGTCAATACTCGACAAATTAAACAGTGGGCATTTTCCGTCCTCCTGGAAACCGTTACAAGGATACATGTATGCCAGTAGATAAATCGAAAAATAAAAATATGTATAAACTATGCCATATAAACCAAATTCTAACTACCGTATGTTTATTCCATGTATGTATGTATTTGTTTTATAACATGTATGCTAACATGTCACATACTACACATTGATATTGTTAACCTCTTGTTCTGTCTGTATTTCATTTGTCATTGTCAATCTTTTCTATTCAAAACCGGATGGAAGAACACAAAATACCATACCTTATCCCACGTCTCCGTCCATATGCCAAAACTGCGCTCTCCCACCGCTCGTGACCTTAGTATACTGATTGCAAATGCTCGCTCAGACGTCGTAGCAAGATTGACCAACATACTGTATTGACTCTTGAACAAAGTAGTGGAAATATATGTAAGCAATCAATAACGTTATCTCACAAGATCCATCAGATATTTGCTATACCCCCTTCTGAATACAATATTTATCCTTGTTAGTAGACCAACGACTTAATGAATAAATGTCAATTGCATACCTCACAAGAAGCTCGAGCTTGAGTGAAGTTTTGTGCTCCCCCGACGTACAAGTAACACACCATCTTATTCTGCAGCCAACCAAGAGGACACGAATCTGGAACAGATAAATTCTGTATCATCAGCAATTCACCCAAACGATTTACCATGAAGCCAATTCTGATTGTTTTAGATTTACCAGATAGATACCTGGTTTATAAATATCCCTAGGGCAATTCACATATGGTTTATCAAATTACGTTCAAAACGAACTTCATTGAGTGTATTTTTGTATTCATTGTAGCCGAGAACCAAACCACCTACCAGAAGCTTCCTGTGGCTCACAACCGCCTCTGCCACACTCCTGTATTTCCGGATTCCAGACAAGATGGTTTGGGCACATCTTGAGAATAACGCCACCTTCAGTGCAGCTGTAATACCGTCGACAAACTCTGGAGTCGGGAATGAACTGCCCTACAGGGCACTTTGTTATCTGACGGGGATAATCAGCAGGGAAAACGCTGGGCCCTGAAATATAACATAAAGAAATATCGTAAGATATTGCCAGTTGTAATGCTTTAATACAAAGAAAGATTATCAGGCCTTTGGAACCTTAATCCTTTATGTAAATAATTTGATGAATTTTATGCCAATCCATTTATCTGTTCAACACCAAAATATTGGTTGATTTGTTTCAATTTACTTGTTATTGTTATTATTATCATCATCAATAGATTTTTGTTATCCTAACAAAATATACCAAAAGTTATTCAAGAAATACAATGATAAAATCACATGAAACATTAAGTTATCGGATCTACTTTTTCATTTAAAATAACCAATAGACATCATGATATAACAGAATAAAAAAAAATGCAAATATGACTTGTTTCAGCTACAGGGGTGTCAGTTTTGAAAACATTCTCACCTGTTTGATAAGAAGACATGGAATCAATGATTGGGTGTATAGAGACCTCGGGGTATGGGAACCTCATGCCTCTGTCTCGAAGTCTCTGCTTGATCTGCGCATGCTCTGTCAGACCCCACCAGTTGGAAGACGCATTCACAGTTGAAGAGGACCCTTCACTTGTAATCTCGAATGTAAATGAAGGGTTTTGGAAGACATTGTCATGGAGAAACGATGATGAGCCACCAGCAACTATGGCCGCCATATTGTTTGCATCTCTTGCAATATTGTAATATATGATGTTGTCAGTGGTGACGTCACTCGTGCTCCTATTGGCTGGTGTTGTCCACCACATCACATGTAAACCCGTGTTGTTGTAGATGTAGTTGTTTGTGACGGTTCCAGACACACCCTCCAGGTGGAGGACATCACTGTACCTATCTCCCTGTCCGTGCTGTATCACATTCCCATCTATACTGCACTGCTGTGTGTGTGGACCGTCCTCTACTACTACAACCAGTATGCTCTCTTGCTGGGTTGTAAAGAGAATCTGGTTGCTCCAAATGTTCAACTTATTGTTTTGGAATACGCTGTGAGTTCTGGCGTGGATGCCACCCTGGTTCCCTTCCATGTAATTGTTTGCCAATGTAGCACTGGTGTCAGCGATATTAAGCCGAATAGCTGCTTTGGAATGTTCAGCTCGGTTGGAAGTCGAAAGTCCATTTCTGTGAAATATGTTTTTGTTGATGTTAATATCCCAATTACTCTGTCCAAATGTAGTTATGTTAACTCCTCCTAGACCATTGTTAAAGAAAGTGTTTTCCTCGATGACAAAGTTGCCGATAGACCCTAAAAGGCAAACCCAATAGTTTGGATTATAAAACATGTAAAATTAACACGTTTGCTTGTATTTTTACATACTGTAAATTTTAAACTTATTCCGTAAGAACACCAAGAAATCAATAGAGTATTTGTATGACTGTCAAGTACCACAATGGCATGTTACTAGTATGTGTATGTGAGAATGTACAATCTTACCTGCAGATGTGTCGTTGGAGATCTTGATACTGAAGACCATGCTTTGCAAACCATATGTGTCCCAGTACCTGACACTGCTATATAACCGGATGGTTACACTGGAACTGTTTATTGGGACATCTGACGGAAGTGAATCGTTTGTCTGGTCAGCATAAAGAAGTCGCCTTGAGTGAAGAGGAGACGATCCTTCAAATATTTCCAGTTGAAAATATTGCAGATTAAACTGTAAAATTTGGATTGTGATATTTTGTCCAAGTTCAGAACGTATTGCACGCGTACAATTAAAATAATTTCCTCCATGCTGTTTTCCATGAGAATAATAAACCAAAATTCTTTCTTTAACAATGAGCATTTTGGAATTTCTTTCGCAAATATTATCGATACCATAAACGTCACTTGGCCATCCCATATATTCTTGTTTGGCCTTAACATTGAGTGGTACACTTCTTGGGTAAGCCACAACAGCATTTATCCCAACGCCTCTGTTGTTAAGGAACTCGTTTCGTTTAATGATAATAGATTTCACAGCTGGTCCAATTAGTTCAATACCGTTCAACCTTGACTGGACCACTCGTGAGTTCTGTATGATTATACTGGGGCTAAAAGACTGCACAGCTGCGCCGTATGTGTTCCCTTTGTAACCTGCATTAAAAACGTCTACAAAGAGCAATTCCGAAGGGCTAGTGCTGATGTCATCTGAAGCAAACACCAATCCTTGCCAATAAGAGCAATTAGCTGTTTGGTATTGACAGCCAAAGGCAACCCTTTTTCTCTTTTCTCCCCTGGCAACTATCCGTCCCAGAACGAGGATCCCTTTGTCCGTCGCTGGCTTAATCCAAACACCAGGTTCAATGAAAACCTCAATACCGGGTAAAATAGTCCAATCTTCTTTTAGATAGAACGGAGAACCTGCTGCTTCTAATGTGATGGACTTGTTCAGCCAGCCGCAAAGGACGTTTCCTTGTGGAAGTCCCTCTGTGACGTCAGGAGTGTACACCATCTCGTTCGATCTTGACACAAATGGAAGTACTCGCACTTCCGGCAGATAAATGTCGTTGTGTGCGTCATATATACGTTTTCTCACGCAACGGGTATTTTCACATCCAAACATGTTGGGTCTGGCTTCAATGGTGTCTGTCCATTTTGTAGAGCGAGTCTTGACGTGCAGCTCTGCCTCCAGGCCCGGGTTTTGAAGCGTGTTGTTTTGAACGCAGACATTTCCATAACCATCTAAAACTAGTGCAGCTGTCACTGGGGGCTGTGATGGCCGACGTTCGCTGTTGTGGGATGAATAAGTGTTGTTAGCAATGATATTCCCTACCAGTCCAATGTTTGGTGTTTTGCTTAGATCATAGGTTGTTTCCTCCATGTTCATGACGATGATATTTCTGTAATGGTTACCTGATATATCATTGTTCACGAATTGTATTGTCTTTTCATATCCCCGGTATAAGGTCATTGACCCAGAGCTGTACTCATTGTCTGTGATGTTATTCCCTGATATTATCATATGTAGAGCACCACCACTGATGTCAAGTACACTCCCTCTGTTGTCAGTGATTTCGTTATTCAAGAACTGGATGTCCACATCTTTGGGATTGTCATCCCTGACACTGTACTGTAACAATGTGTTCCTGGTATTTCTGATCTTACATCCATCAATGGTTAACTGTTCTCGATTTCCACGGTCATTATCTATATAAATTACATAGTCATTGGAATCTAAGGTTGTATTTTTGATTGAGATGGCGAAAGATGGTAACAGTTCATTCACCAGTGGAACATTAGACACTCTATATAACCTTACATCCATCGGTCTGTAGTTTCCTACTAAGACTGAGTCTTTTATATCAACGCCGACTTGTCCCAGATCTGGGAAGTCTGGATGTCTTCTGTCAGTCCGTATTCCATTGGTGTAGCCTTGGTATTGGCCATATACTGCTGTGGAGGAGCCGCTGATTATAACATTGTCCAATGTTAAACTTGGTTTGTTTGGTGGCAGCTCGTCTGAAAATTACAAATGTACTTTTTAAAATGATCACACCTAAGATTATATACCCTGAATATTATTTCACCTCGTTTGCGTTCCTTAGCCATCCTTTCATCTTCTTTCGTTATATCAATCTATCATATCTGCCATTTTTGTGTTACTAGCCCAGGTAGTTAATACAGAACATAACGAGCTCATGAATAGCACTTTAACCCCGAAACTGGTGCTTTTACGTCATCTTCAAAATGACCACACCTTATGTAGACAAATAACGCCTATCAATATGGTTACATAATATCATTACAGCCGGTTTTATATTAAATTGTTATTGCTTGATTGCTGACTAACATGCTATATAACATTAATATTTATGAAATTCCACTTAATGTAGTTAATGGTTATCTCTTCGTCTATATAAATGTTGGGTTATTCCACATTCCCAGGCGATTTTATCAAAGCAAATATTTCTCATAAATCCACGTTGTGAGCCATCTCGAAACAACGGCGCTCTATTATATAGTTATGCCTGCATACATGTATACAAAGTTGCAATCGCTAGTGGGGAATATCTGTACACTTCAAAAATTTATTCAACATCGGAAAACTAGTACGTCATTTTACTCTATCAAATGTGTCGTATGGAAAGAAACACGATGCTTTTATTACAGTACAGTTTCTGGACTGGAAATTGCAAATCAATGTATGATAGAGAAAACAATTTTTGACATAATTACCTCCGCCAAGGAGGTTATGTTTTCACCCCTGCTTGTCTTTCTGTTTGTTTGTTTGTCTGTCATCAACATAACTGAAAAAGGTATGGACCGATTTTGATGAAATTTTTAGGGTAGGTCAGAAATGGGTTAACTTAGAAGTGATTAGTTTTTGGTGGTGATCCGGATGAATAATCGATCAATAATCAATAATAATAATAATAATAAATTGCTGCCTTGGCGGAGGTCTGCGTTCTCGGAGTGCTTTTCTAGTTAATAAGTTAGACGATGCATTATTGCCAACTGTCATATTTGATTACAAGTTGACACCTACCAATTCATTGTGCTTACCTTTCACCGCCACTACTACTGCATAAATATATACTCTGCACCCAGCACACCCGTTAACCCATGCCTTGAGGAACTGTAGACTGTTAGTAGAGGTGGTGAAAACAGAATCCGTCGAGTTTAGTCCCACTGTCCAGTTTTTCACTGTATCCGTCAAAAGCAGTTCGAAGTCACGATAATCACCGTAGATGATAAAAACCCGTAGTCTGAGGTCCGACCTGGTTGTAAAGGTACCACATTGTATACGCGTATTTCTGTATCGATAAAATGGGACCATATCGCCTTCATTGGCCAGATATGTTACACCGCAGTCTTCTTTATAGGGAGTAAAGTACGCTGTCATTGACCTACTGGGTGACCCTGATTGAAACAATACAGCGTATGAGTTTATGTCTTCCATCCGTGAATCCCTCAGAGTTGCGCTCAGTGTGTATGTTTCAAAGGCATTGGTATCTATATCTGCCATAACCATGTTTGTCATATTTGCCTCTACCCCGTCCACGTATATTTGTCGAATGCCTCCCCCAGAGGTAAGAATGGCCACGTTGTCAATCATATGTCGGTTGAAATCCACCTGTAAAGAAGGACCTTTTCTGCGTGACCCGGAGTCAAAGTATCCAGCAAACTGCATCACCGCATGTTGTATAGAGCTGGGACGAGCCGTCAGACCTAATCGAATACCGGCCCACGTGGACTCTCGTGAATGCTTGGTGCACACAACTCTAAAGAACATAGTGCACCTGTATCTTTGCATACCCGTACAGCAGTCAAATTCAAAGTCTGTTTCCGTCCCAGCGCAATTTAGTTTTAACCCCAGTTTAGCCGTATCAGAAATCGGGCTCATGTGCCTAAGAGAAGTATACCCAAGTCGCCTGCATTCTCCGTCCAGCCATGTTGTCAACATCGGCTCTCTCAATGAAGAATCATAACAAACTGGCAATATATCTCCGTTTTCTTCTCCGTAAAGTAGTCCATAAAACGATGTCAAGCCATATGATTGCGATGGCCCTCGAAGCAACGAAAATTTTCCAAAATCTGTTTTAGATGTGACAGTTTTCGTTGTAGCCACCTTTCCCTTGGCGGTAAAGATGCACTTCTTACTCTCTGTTCCACTGACATTAAGTCTTCCTCCAATGTACACTCCCACAGAATCTTCAAATTCTAAAACCACGCCTGGTTCTATGGTTAGTGTAGCGTTGACTGTCACGTTCAGGTCATGTGTCACCGTGTACGGTTTACCAGTGTCCTTAAGAGTAAGATCGGTGTTAATGCGGCCACCGAGTGTGTAGGGAGTTGGTGCGGGGTCCACTTCTATAGTCGCTGGGGACAAACTGGAGAGATCAGACGTGATATAGAACGGAATGTATATAAACTCCGTTCTCAGAGTGTAGCGTTTTGTATTATCCATAATCCCCGAGTAAACATTTTGCGGGTTTGGTGTTCCCCAGTAATTTCGTGACACATCTAGTGTTCTAAGGACAGAATCCTCGTGCCATGTGGCCAGTTGATATTCGACTAATAGGTTTTCGAAAAAATTGTCAGTAAATGTGAAACTACTTGGAGCATTTATCAAGGCCGTGATAGAACCCACCTCATGTCTCTTGTTTTCCGTTCTCACATTGTTGTTTCTAAAGTTATTTCCAGTCATGTACAAACTGGAGGCAGAAACACAAAGAACGCATCGGGACACGTCATTATCGGATAATGTATTGTAAAGTATCTGGGTGTCCCTGGAAGTGTCTATTACAAAACCTGCCGTGCCATTTGTTTTAGAAACCAAATTCTCGTTCACTTGGACGGATCTGAGGCTGTATGTTCCACATCTATAACCAGGTCCCAACTCCAGGGCTGTTTCGCTTTGATTGTAAAAGACATTGCCGGACACTACGATGTCTGTTAGGGCACACTGTTTGGCTTGCGGTACTGATATACCAAATGAATTATCCATCAGGGTGTTGTTTTGAAAAATGAAGCTGACTTTATCTGATAATGTCCATACCGGGGTTATGCCAACAGACAAAGCATACTTAGAGGAATTAATGAATTCATTATTCTTCACGGTAACATTCCTCTGGATGTGCTTAAAGTACACATGGTTCATGTTATTCACAAAGGCGTTGTCCTGAAGCACAATAGTACCGGATCCCTTACCAACGTACAGACCTGTCTCTGAGGAATGTGCCACACGACTCCCTGATATGCGAATTGGTTGCAGTTGATTCTCGATAAAAATTCCATATCCGGATGTTGTAACTTCGACGTTATTCAATGATAAACCCCTGGAGTGGCCTGAATAAGCTGTAAAAATACATACGAGTTTACGTATATTACTTTACGTTATAATAGCATAACTCTCAAACATTTTCATATTTAGCTGTATATGTTGACATTATGACAAACATGACTTACTTAGTCATTATGAACTGAAAGTGAAAATAAATTCGATATACTATGCGATATATGGATATGCGAAAAATTATTTTTCTCGCAAAATTAATATTTACTCACCGGCAACGGACTGTACTGAAAACATTCCTTGATATCGTTCGCTAGAGTCGATATTAAGTCTTGAAAATGACAGCAAGACTGAACCGCCACTTGTGTAGAGAGGGGAGGGCATGTTTAACTCGGCACCGTACATATACACTTTCTCCAGCCGCCGGGAGGACGAACTGTTTCCGTCAAATATATCCAGTATGTTACGATTTGTATACGAACGTGTCCTTATACATAGTACACGCAACGCCAAAATATATCCTGGGTTTTGACTTCGGAACACCTATATGATGTAACACGGCAAATTGAAATACATGTAATATGAAACAACGTCGTTAATGTAAGTAGTATAATTTACACATGTACTTAAATAATTCAACGCTTCCTAAATGATGATTTACGCAAAATGACAAGATGTATGGCCAGACACTTTTGTTTAAAGTTAATATTTTTGTACTCTTTTTTTACAATAGGCCACGCGTTGGACAAGCTAATTGTTACTTATGACATATTAGTGAGCTGTTAAGGTCCAATAAGTAACGAGTGGCCTACCTGAGAACAGGATGACCTTGATCCCAGATGAAGGTCAGTACTGTCAAAGCTGACAATGAGCTGTTCTCCATCAGGAACCGTTGTTTCCGGCAGTTGGCACATCTTATAGGAGGGCAGCGGGAATATTCTGTTGTAATATACACCTGCTTTATAGACAATAGAAATCTGGACATTGTCCAGTGCCAGGTTACCACCAAAGCTTCTGAAGGAAACCCCGTTTCCCATGCTGTTCTCAATGCTACTATTGTTGATCGCTGCATGTCCAGTTATAGCTCTGAGTAGAACACCATTACCGATGACATTCGTGATGTTCAGGTAATCAAGCACAGGTGGGCTTCCACTAATCGATATGGCTGCCGTATCATTTGAGTGTGTCCCGATGTCAGGAAGACCGGCGAATTCGATGTCGACATATTGGAGAGCACTTGCTCCTAGTACGGAGGAGTTAGTCGCCAGCTCTATGCCAGACCAGTACTTGGCTGTTTCGTTGGCATCCCCGCGATATCCAGAGTAACCTGAGCACTGCAGCCACACATCCTGACTGTGAACTGAAAAATTAAACAACATAATGGCATGCATATTATTATCAACTTAGGGAAACGGTATGTGAATAGAACCCGATGTTATTATTCACAGTTTATTTTGTATACAATGGACTCATTTTACACTTGAAAGTTGCGTAGTAATAGGAGAACGACAATGACTAAACCATTGGAAGACCACAGAGGGACAGGCGGCATTGGTGGCAGCTATTTCAATTTGTGTTTTTACTCACGACAAATAGATGGTCTAGGAGGTGGAGAACGAGAAGAAAGTGGACGTCTTGAAAATAATGTTAATTGACACATGGTATGCAGATCATTGCAGAAAAGATCAAAAGACCAAAGGAATGACTACACAACCCCAACGACTACAACAGTAACATTGTAGCATATTGGAATCAAAGACAAAGACAAGAGTGCGCCAACAGTTTTGAAGAGCTGGGTCCAAACGTTCCAGGTAAAAAGATAAAAAACGCAGCCCTTGCAAGATCGACTACGACCACAACATCTTTAACCTGGAACTAGTGAGGCTTGTCTGTATGGAATTAGATCTTGACTCAAGTCCAACTACTTAGTCTTCAATGATGATGAAACTGAATTGGTCAACTTCAACTCCAAGTTTTCCAGAGACAGCACCACACTAGTCAGTATCAGAGTTGGAGATTCTGTTATCACAACAAGCACAGAAGTTAGAAATCTGGGTGTAATTTTCAGCAAGCATTGTGACATGGCATCACACATTAACATATTGTGTAAATCATCATATTTTAGTCTGCAACGAATATCTAAGATTCTTCACCTTATTGACAGTAAGCAAACAGAGCTACTCATTCATTTGTGACTTCTAAACTCGATGATTGCAACAGCTACTATCATATGGAAAAACTTCAGTCTATTCAGAATTCAGCAGCTCGTCTCTTTTGTAAAACTCAGAAGTCCGACCACATCACACTAGTTCTCCACGATCTTCATAGCTTACCAGTCTCGCAAAGAATAGTTTATGCGATTTTACTCTTGACTTTTAAAAATATAAAGGGCGACTGTCCATTTTATATGAACAATATAATAGAACTTTTAACTCCTCTTAGAACTCTTCGTTCCAGTGGTCAAGTTCAACTCAAGCGAAATGATACCAAAAAGACCCTAAAAACATATGGTCACAGGAGTTTTGAGATTGCTACACCAATTTTATAGTCCAATTTTTTTAACGAAACTTCTGTGTCTTTGAACGACTCTTATTACTGTTTTTTTTAAATAAAAACCTTTTTATTGAAGGAATATTTTGGTTAATTTAATATCTTAGTTTTAAATACTTTTATGTTAGTTTTTAATTGATCTTTTTTAGTTTTACCTTTTATATGTAAGTCTAAACAGCGCTGAGACGCAAGTGTAGCGCGGTTTTAAGAAATGTATTATTATTATTATTATTACCATCACTTGTTAAATGAACGAAAGCGATCTGTTTGAAGAAAGTCATCTGTTCAAAGATGAGACTGAAGCATCCTCTGAATACAGTATCTCTATTGCTGCTATGCCTCTGAGAGCGCATTCAGAACAGCGGACTAGGAGTGGATCTAGAACAGATGATTATCGGACTAACTGATCCTCCGACTAATTATGGCAGACCCCAATTAAACGCATAGGGTCGAACAGAGCCGAGAAAGAGGAACAGAGACAGGCAGAACAATGATTAAGATTACATGAGTAAGGAATGGTGGACAGGAAGCAGGTTGCGGTCCTGAATTTCATTAACAGCTAATCTCACATTGCTCTATATTCGATTTGTGTATGAATAATGATAGTTGTGTTGGTCTGAGCCGGTGGGGCAGGAATGGTGGTTCTACAGGAATGGATGTCCGGGGTCACATATGATTAGTACAGGTTAGGGTTAGTCGTAGTATAAGGGTAAGTATATGGGACGAATGTCACCTATACAAAATAACGGGGAGAGGACTACGGTTCCTAAAGGGGCCCGCACACGGTGAGCATTTGGCGCGCACCACTTGCGCTGCGCCGTTTTCTCATCGTTTGCGGGGGTATTTTGGTGAGATTTTTGCCTCTCGCGCGGCTGAGCAAAATATCTCACGTGTTTGATATTTTTGGTCTCTTGAGGCAAATGGCTCAGCGTGTGCGGGGTGCAAGCGCCGATTGCTCACGTCATGCCAACAATTCGCATGTGCTGGAAACCGGAAACAAACAAAAATGGCAGCCCCCAGCGAACTCAACAAAAATGTACACAGTTACAGTTAGTCTGATTGATTAACGTGACCACCATTTTCCATTACTACCAGAAAAAACAACAATATGTAATGTTTCCTTAAACACATGATCCCATAGTTCACAGTGCGTCCGCTAGGGGCAGGCCAGGAGGCACCTCTGCTGAGCAAAGAGCCCAGCGTTTGCGGGGAGCTGAGGAGCGCGAGCATCTGGCTCAGCACAAGTGGCGCACGCCAATATTGCTTACCGTGTGCGGGGTGCTTAACGGACTTCCATTCCTGTCACGGCAGTCCAAACTGACATTCAGCTCCTCTATATTGTTCTAACTGTAAATTGACATTACTATATCTCCATTCTTAGCTATAGATTACTAACCACAGAAAGACAGACAATAACTGTATTATACTTTAATATTTTGGTACCCATGCAAAGACCTATAGTCGAGTAGCCAGAACTCTACACTGCAATGTTTTTTCCTGTCAACTTTTTTCTGAAATGCATTCTTCAGGCCGAGAGAAGCAAAATTAGCTTGGTTGCTACTTCCGAGACAAGTTTTTTCAATATGGCCGTCTTATGAGAAAAATGACCAGACGTCACCGGGTATACTTTATTAAGAGCTTTTTTGATCGTTTATCCTATCATTCCTCCGGACATATCAAACACTGCACAATGAGAACTTTAGCAATAATCACTTACGTACAAGAAACACTGATAATGTTTTGATACCTGAACTTACATTATATTCCATTCAATACATAAAATAAAATGGACAAATAAACAAAGAATCTAGGTTAAAAGAAATGTTCACATGTTGCAGACACAATAAAAAGCAGACGCCTAATGTCGAGTTCATCTATTCTGTGTTTAGCAGTGAAAAAAAAGACGCCTGATTATTAAGTTTAATTTTTTCGTGATAGATCACTCTGAAATTCACCAAACAAAGAAACATCCCTGACATTGGCCTTAGGCTTTTATAAAAGATTAGACAATTGCAATATCATGGTTCTCAAAAGTGGTAAATACATGAATAAAGATAACAGGTCAGTAAGATACTCACAACAGCTGTGTACACGGACCCCATCGTGAGGACAGTCCCATAGGGAGCTCTCATGTCCATCGCATCTCACGTTGTTCAGAAGAATACTTCCAGTGCCACTGCCTCTGTTATATACTTTGGTACACGTTTTATATCCTAACATCCTGGCAACAACTCTGTTGTTATTGTTGTAGTAGTAGGAGCTACCCCAGCCATTCTGACAAACGGTGCCAAAACTACCTGAAAGGAGAAAATGTTACGTTCTCTTTAACAAACATTTGTGGAAAATGAATATTCGGTCTAGTAGGAGGTTCGGTTCAGATGAGCGCTAACATTTCAAAACGATTCTGGAATAACGCCTGTATGTGGTCATGGGGGGGACTCTTGCATTTATAAGTGATATATTTAAGTATGTGAGAAGGAGTAGTAATTTGGCATGGACCCCTACCCCCTAGGCTCCTACGATAATAAGCCAAATAATGATTAAATGTACTCTTTATGTGGTTTACCAGTCAATATCAATATTCGACGGGAATAAGCTGTCTCCTACTCACGAAACACTACTCGACCCGTATAATACCTGCACTTGTACCCGACGTATAACATAAATTCAATTTTTATTTTTTTTTATATAGTTCTTAATAACTGGGCAGCAGAAATTATTGTTGTAATTGCAAGGTCTGAATTGGGAAATTTTTATTGCCTTGCAGGAAATGTAGACACAGAAAATATTTTATTTTAGGAAACTGTACATGTACATGTACAGTTTTTCTATAAGATTTCATTCCCCCAACTTCGAGGTAAGAGTTTTGTACCGTCATTTCGTAACAATGAACACTTGAGTTGTAACAGATGATCAACATTTTATTCTAATAGATAACTTACAAAAATAAAAAGAGAAAAAAGAAAAAGAAACTCTTCAAAAACACAAAGACATTCTACACTGCAGATACCTTGGTATAAAAGTTCCAGGCGTCCATGATGATTTTCCGTGAAGTCCCCGGCCCATNTGAGTAGAGATGATCCCGCACAGATTGCTATTAGATTACTAATTTACTATGTCTCGCTTAAATCGATGTTTGTAGTACATATAATACATTAAAAAAGTGCCCAATAGATATTTAAGATACACAAACATTGCGTTTGAAACAAAATTTAGTATATTATTTTCGATTTTAAATAGAGAAGATTTCAAAACATTGAAACAACTGGATTTGTGCTTTTACTCACCTTGGGCACTTCATGTGCGCATCCATGTTGAAAAGACCCGGATAAGACGTAAAATCCTTGCGCCATCGTTCGTAAGTGGAAAAAATATAATATAACAAATATCAGTCACATATGCTTCATTGTATGTGGTCATTATATCTTGAAGTAAAATCTTTTTTAATGCGGAATTGCAAATTTAAAGCTTACTTGCATGTTAGACATGTTGTAGGGGACCTTTTTTTTTTAGCACATTGGTCTCCAATCGTGATACGGTTGGAATGGTTGACATGGAGTAAGGTAACGTTTACTGTAATCGAAGTGCTCAGTTTCCTTGCTTTTCGTGATTCATTTTGTGGGGTTTATGTTGATATAGTACGTAATCAGTATTTTAGTAGTATTTTTGAAATCACCTAGATCGTGAGGTTATACTGACTGCGTAATTTCGTCGAGGGTAGGCAGTCACGATGCAGAAGCGAGCGTTGTCAAATGTCATGCTGGCTGTTGACACATTTTTCCGGTGAATGTGTTATCAGCACTGTTCACTAAAATTTTCTCGACTGATGGTGCCAACTTTTTGAACTCTGAAAAACAATTTTCATGTTACTACTCGGATCTAATGAAAATTTATGTCACCCTAGTTCTGTAACCTGTACCCAGTGTACAGTAGCTGTACCATGAAGTACCTCTTTGATAGATCTATATATGCATGCACATTAGTTTTCAGTTTTCTTCCTGTCACAAGACAATAAATATATAATAGAGATTCATATGCGTATATTTCAATTCAAATATGATCAATGTCTACTTGTATGAGATCTGCTTGAAAAAAAAGGTCATTCACGTCTTTGAAATGATTTCATGCTAACTTGATATTATCCATGTTCATATTTTATTCTTGCAGTAAAAAGGTGTAAATGGGGATACTTCTACTTGAAGCAGTGCTTAAAAAACACTGTGAAATCCACCAAGATGTGTGACCATCGGTTGCTTCGCTCTGGGTCAGCAGGAGAGATTGACCATGTACAGCATCTGTCTGACAACATTGGAGCACTGTTTGAGAATGCAGATTATCACGATGTTACCATCATTGTGGAACAGCAACATTTTAGTGCACATAAGGTCATCTTGGCTGCAAGATCAGAATACTTCAGGTTAGTTGTTATCTTTCTGTGTGTTGTGAATAACATAAGACAAAGTAACCTATTATAGTATTTCCTGTCATTTATCAGATTAATTAATATGTAATATTTTACTACACTAGTATGTGAACACTTGAGATTAATTTCAAAAACAATCATTGATGTTTCATGTTTACTGATAATCTTTCTTAAATGGTTAAATCTTGTATGATTTTACTAATTTAAAGAAAATGATGTCTTCTCTATGTTAAAGGGCTAACGGCTGATCATTTTGGCAAAAAAAAATATTTTCCTTGGGTAAATGACAATTTCCCCATACTTACTTATGGTTAATGAATCCATTCCAACATTCAAAGTTTGTCCATGTTTTTTTTTTCTAAAAAGTTAGGTTTTTTTGTAATATTCCCTTAATAGATTATTACAGAGTGTAGTAAGTATGTAGGTGTGATGGCAAGCACAAATTCCAGAATAATGCGCTAACTGCCGTTTTAGTGGTAAAATAGAATTTATATTTCTATCAGTTATTTACAATGCTTTTATTGTGAAATATGGATGTCATATGCACAGTTGTTATCCCTTTAAACTGTAGATGGTAGATTTGCAGTACTTCAGAATTTAACCTGTTAATAAAAATTAACAGTCGTTAAAACCATAAATACTTTTCAAAATCTTCTTTTTTCCAGGGCATTATTGTTTGGTGGAATGAGAGAAAGTAACTGCAAAGAAATAGAACTGAAGGATACCAGTGCCACAGCTTTTCGGCATTTACTCAAATACATATACACTGGCAGAGTTAATCTGGGTGAAATGACGGTGAGAAAATTACCAGTTCGAAAAATGAAAAGAAAATGGAAAATTACATACATAATGAAATTACAAGGTTTATTTCAATAATATGAGCCCTTTGAAAATAAAAGTAGCATATGAGATATGATTCTTTTTATATATATATATAAATGAGTATGTGCATAATAACTAGCATGGAATACACATACACATACATCCTAATTGATTCAAATCTAAGCCTTTTAGCTGCCATAAGGTTTTCTCACACGAGTAAATGCAACACGACGAGGTTTTTTAATAGCTTACAAGGGCAATGTTTATTATCATCATAGCAAATGTTTGACATGAGTATTAATACATGTTTTTCATCCAGCACTTAAATGAACAAGGCAATATTCTATTTCAGGAGGATGTGGTGTTGGATGTACTGGGACTTGCTCACCAGTATGGATTTGTGGAAATGGAAAAGGCAATATCGGAGTACTTAAAGGCTGTATTAAACACCAAGAATGTGTGCCTGATCTATGACATCGCCAGCATGTACAGCTTGCGAACTTTATCAGACACTTGCTTTCATTACATGGACAGAAATGCCCAGGACATCATCAACAGTGAAGCCTTTCTTTGTTTATCTGAGGTAAGGAAATGCAGCTTTTTTTTTTTTTACCTGTCCCGAATTTTAAAACTTATATTTACTTGTTCCATATCTATTGAAGTTTTGAACTTGGAACAATTTAAGTTGAACACTAGTTCAGTTAAAACTGTGCCATTCGGCATTTGATAGTAGTTTTAAGTGAATGCTTAAATATTTAATGTCAGTGTTATGTTGATATCATTTTAAATATAATGTGGTTATTTGATATTTATGTGTAATTTTATATATACTAAATACATGATATTATATGGTGTTTTTTATGTTGTTTCAGAGTGCACTATGCGAGATGCTCGCCAGGGACTCATTCTGTGCCCCAGAGGTGGAGATTTTCAATGCAGTTTGTCTTTGGTATGAAAAGAACCCCAACTGTGATATAGCCAAAATAATGAAAAACATAAGATTGACCCTGATGTCACTGCAAGACCTGTTGAATAAGGTCAGGCCTAAAGAGTTAGTTTCTGCTGATGCCATTCTAGATGCCATAAAGTTTAAGACAGAAAAAAGGGACATGGAGCTTCACTATAGGGGATTTCTCAGTAAGTCCTTTTTCAACTTGCATTGAAAATATTACTCATATTTTCAATTGTGTGGAAATGACGTGATAAAGTGTGTGTGTGTGTGTGTGTGTGTGTGTGTGTGTGTGTGTGTGTGTGTGTGTGTGTGTGTGTGTGTGTGGTAAATTAAAGGATATTATGTTTTCAATGAGAAAATTTTCCAAACATGGTATATATTTTTAAAAACTTCTCATAGTAGTACTCGAGTAAGATGGGGTTTCTTTTCAGTTTGATGATCTATCATTTGTAATGTAATATGCTAAAGATTATGTAGATGTGTGGTGATGATAGTATGTGACTGGAAAATCTGATGCCCTTCTTATAGTTAAATGTATACATCTTAGCCAACAGAACAAGTCAACAATTTTGATTTTTTTAAAACCAGAATTAATTATCATTTAAAGCTGGTATTGATTATATAAGCTAGAGTGAGCCTAGAAAATCCGTTGTTTTACCCATAGGTATTTTTATCTTATAGCCCTCAATGAGAATATTGCCACAATGAGGCATGGAGCCAAGTTGGTCCGAGGTGAGATGAAAGCTGCCCTGTTGGATGGGGACACGTTGAACTATGATCTGGACAGAGGGTTCTCCAGACATCCCATAGATGACACCAATGGTGAACTGGTAGTAGAGTTAGCTCAACCTTCCATCATTAACACAGCAAGACTGCTACTGTGGGACAGAGACATGAGGTGAGGTGATGAAGATAATGAGTTTCTTATAGATTGTAGATCTTATAGTTGAAGTGACATCTTACATTGTTGCCTGGTTTTCAAGATGATTTTCATTGGGATTTTTTATGTACAGACACAGATGTGTCTGTACATATTGCCATCACCTGCGTCTGTCGTCGCCGATGCCGATGCCGATGGCGATGCCGATGCCGATGCCGTCGCCGGCGCCGTGCACTTTCCTTGTAAACACGATAAGTGGAAGGCAGTTTCACTTTTTGGCTTAATATTTACAGAGCTGATGAATATTCATAAAACGCAGGTCAAGTTCGAAAATCAGCATGATCGGGCCATTTTAAGGGAAGTTATGCTGTTTTTTCACTTTTTTCAGCATATATGCAACCCTGTAAACACATTTTAAGGAAAACCGTTAGGCCTGTTGTCATGAAACTCACAGTAGTGGTCAATCTTACTAAAATGGAGGTTAAGTTCGAAAATCAGCATAATCGGGGCATTATTTTAGAAGTTATGCTGTTTTTTCACATTTCCTCAGATTCAACTCTTAGGCATGTTAACAGTCTCATTATTGAACTAATAAGATACGTAAAAGTGTTTGTTTGACATTTCCTGCATCTTTACAACATTGTTAGTTGATTTTGTAAAAATGATGGTAAACTTGTTATCGTGTATTGTGTAATAAAGTGTCAAAAATGGAAATAAACCCATATCATTGCAGTTTGTCAGATTTATTCATTCACTATGTTCAGAATCTCAGAATGGAGGAAATTAGACATTTAACACTATTCTATTGATATTTTCCCCATCTCATCAATTTTCTTAGTTGATCATATAAAAATTGCAGTAAACTGTTTATTTTATGTTAAAAAAAGTGTTAAAAATGGAAATAAACCCATGTCAGAACAGTGCTGTCTTGTTTCACATTTCCTCAGATTCAATTCT